TTAGAAACCTTTGCTAATATTTATAATTCATTCTCTTTACTTAAGTTTAATCACCCCTCTTCCAACATCATATGCTTGTAGTGATTCTCAGTGAAACCCACTATCCAGAATCGCTGTAACAATATATCAGCATCCTAATTAATCTTATGATACAGATTAGCAAATCACACAAAATTCTTCCTATGATATATAATCAATCTCCATAAATAAAATGATTTAGTACTCTAGCCATTGTGAAAAAAAGTATCGATAACATGATTCCAATCCCAATGCTGATTATCTTTAAAATCATGTACCTATCAAATTGCAAGACAAATGTATAATGCAAAAAATTGAAAATAAATGCTTAATTTTGAAAAATAACTTGTATCTTTAAATTTTACTTATGAAACAATTATTTATGTTCTAACAAAAAGGTTTTCTTGCGAATTTACACTATGTATTACGCTCCCGTTTGCTATATAATAACCTTAACCCTAAATCTAACCCTAACCGAAACTCTTTAATATTATGCATTATAATTAAGGGGAATATCAGATGATCAGCATTGGGATTATCATCACGTGATCGACACTTATTCGTCACTAAAAGTGATTACTGTTATATACGTAATGACTATTACATAATTGTTTCTTTTTATAAATTACCATTATCACCATTACGAGATTTTTAAATTTTAGTAATAATCAAAATGCCAAACCTTGTGCTTCATTAAACCTGATAGATTTCTTCAATATTCTTTTTATTCTGTTGATTTATCATTTTTTTTACCCATCATCGGGAGTTTATACCAATTATCGTTACAGGATGGAATGGAACATTGGTTCTTACATCTTCACAAGAAACATTTGAAATTTGGTTCGGCACAACACGTAAATATTTCTAAGCAAATCGGAACTACTTGAAAAACTTGCATAGATATTATAAGAAACATCTTGATCAATGAGCACAAAGTGGTTATAACTCTAAATTAAAATCAGATGTGTTGAATCTACTTCTTGATTTGAAAGAAGAATCTGGATGGTGAGGAAAAATGATCGCATGGACGAAAAAGATGTTCGGGACTCCTTAGAAGAGATTATGAATGGCTCAGCTACTGTAAAGTTATAACATGTAATTGGTTTTAATTAATAATTCTTTTAATTGATATATTATCTTAATTGAAATTCCAGATAGCTGGTACTTTCAGATATATTATAGAATATATTGAACGAAATCCCAAAGTTAAAGAGCAAGTCGAAAAAGAAATTTGAGATTTTGCAGGTTAAAAAACTAATCATACAATAAATATTAAAGAACTTGCACAATTTAAATATATTGGGGCGGTAACCTGGGAAGGTAAAAATTATACATTATTTTTGTTCATAAGTTTGAAGTTTATTCACAAATTTTTGTTTAATTCAAATAGTTTTTCGCGTAAGCCCCGTACTTATGATCGAAAGAGTAAATATCCAAGAACAATTGCCGGATACAAATGGAAACCAAGCACCAGATTTGGTATCAATATTTAACCGATCTATTTCAATCCGAATTTAGACCAGAAAGATTCCTGAACAGGGAACTAAAAATTCAACTACGTATCTCTTTTGGTATGGGATTGCAATCATGCCCTGGACGAGTCGTAGCAATAACTATCTTGGAGCGATGACGATTTTGTTATATCGCAAGTATAATGTGCAGTTACTTAATGCTGACTTGCCCATAAAATATCGAAATGGTTTCACTAATACTTGTCTTAGAGCTAGAGTTAAATTGACACCAAAGAAATAATATCGACATATTAAATTAATAATATTTTGTTGGAATTCAAATTACGTATGCTTAATGTTAATATTGACGTGTACATATCGATATTGCACGTGGTGTTGCGGTGATTGAGATGCCGTATGTTGTTGGATTATTTCTCACACGATACATAATCTCTCAAAAGAGCTCGAGTGCATCAAATAGTTCCTTTAACTGTCGAACCAAAGGATCTTGTGAATGTGGAATTGACTTGTTTTCAAAATCGTTCCTTAGTATAATCTAAATTGTGAGATATATCCCAAGCGGCAAGACCAAACGAACTTAAAACTAAATAAAAACAAATTAGTGTTACTTTGTTTTCATACTTGTAAAATATTTTCTATTTACTGTTTTTGACTTGTAAAAGCACAAAGTTGACGAAATACAAAAAGCTTTGAAAGCGTACAAAGATAAAACCATACCATAAAAAGATGTATTATCGTTATTATTACTTAGCGTTAGCGTCAGAGATTTGGAAAGCAATGAGGTTACTATGAAAAATACATGCATATAGAATAAAATTACAACTCAGAATAAAAACAAGTTTATCCTTTTGAACATATCAATCCCATTACGAACAAAATAAAATCAGGGTTTGAACACGCGAAGTCAATTTCTGGAAGTGTAATAGGTAGCACTCGGAGTCGAACGCATGACACTTGTTACCCAGAAAGACATCAATAGGCAGCGAACCAACAGAGTCAAAGTTGCCTTCGGCGAAAAAATCACTTAAATTCATAAATTTTAATTTTTAAAAAACTGTATAATGGAGCTATAATTATTCCATTAAAATTTGTCTAAATCGGTATTACTGGCTGGAAAGAAAATCGATATTGAAGATTCATATATTAACTGAGAAAATATTCAGAGGATTTGAAAATGCATTCAAAGCGATATTTTTCTTGAATACGACACACTCATTATAAGGAGCATCTTCAAGCCAAGGATCAATTAGAAGGTTACGGTGTGATCTCGTTCAAGAACGAAGAAAAAGAAGTAGAAAATATGCCAATCGAACCATTGAAACTAGATACAGTATAATGAATTTGTTGATCGCGCGGCAAATACAGAACGCGATATTTCGTATAATACGAATGATTATTTGAATAGACCTTTGACTGATGATGCAATATAGATGAGTTTATTTGAATCTATCGCTGCGTCAATTACAATTGTGTGCCCTTTATCTTTTTTGCGAAAATTCTTATTATTATTCTTTGTTAAAAAAAAAGAGTGTTGCTGCCTTCATATTTGTTTTTGATATGTCGGTAAACATCCGGAAGTAGAAACAAAATCAGAGCAGAGATTAATTCGGTTTTTTCGAATAATCCGGATCGCGTTATCACCTACGATAATTTGAACGAATTCAAATGTATCGAGGCTGTATACTATAAAAGTAAGTCATTTCAATTTTGTTTTTACTATTTTATATGGCAATATCAAAACTAACAAACTCTTTTGAGCAACTCTTATAAAAACAGCAGTGCCATTTATGTTCCACACAAAATCAACATGAAGACTTAATAGTCGGATATCATCGCAACGAAAAACATTTTACCGACCCCGAAAAATTTATCAATGACGGCAGTGGTGAAGAGGGTACCTTCAAAAACGTGTTTTATCCATGGGGTGGTGGACTACTCATTTGTCCTGCGAAAAATATCGGTCTTGTTGATGTGAAAATGTTAATGTGGATAACCATGATTCTATTGCGGGCCACTTAAATTGCTATGTATGGTATACATGTATGACGATCAATCAATAGTAAATTTTTCATATTACGTAACTAATTATGTACATGTACATAAACATACATATATTATACAGTAACACAAGAATGGAACACGCCTTTTAAATTGAAAGAACTGTTTTAATTACATGTACGTACATACAAATAAACAAAAAATTTTTATACGTATAATTTTTAAATCGGGCGTATTATCCGTTACCATATTTAGGAATATCAATGTTACTTGATTGATCATCAATAAATTTTTCTTTAGATAAAAGAAACTCAAGATATAATACATGTACATATTAACTTAACTCTTTAGAAATTTAGAAGCACCTATCCACTAATCTATTGCAACTGAAAGATATTTTTGTATTTAAGGAGCATGTTACATTGTTTAATATTATGTGTAAGGACTCCGAAACCTAATTTTTAATATATCCGTTGAGTACATCTGATTTGCAGTTTGCTGAAAATCTATGATGTGTATAAAGAAGTTTACTTTGAAGGCTCGGAACTAACAGACACAATAAATAGATTTTATTTTTTATGGCACATTATTCAATCGTGGTTCATAGTATATTAATTAACACGAGTGATCTAACACGAACTTGAAATAATTTCTAGTTTTTGTGTATGATGTAACTTAACATTTATTTTCCACAAGCTATAAATAATTAACTAAAAAGATTACGAGCTAAAGAAATAACTTGGCTTGCCACAAATAAAAGTGCATAATCATGCTTATGCTTGTCGTATTACTCGCACAGTGGATTACATTCATTTATGAAACAGAACAATATCTCCTTCATGTAACGCTTTGGTGATTTCTCACGAACCATATAAAAATATGCTTCTATATCCTTTTATTATATATATAAATGTAGGATAGGCTTGTCAGCCCCAAAAATATTATGTACCTGTACAATGGTGGTGGTGTCACTGCTCCATACTTATTAGTACATGTACATACAACGAGTAAAAATTATGCTGCATGCCTTACTCTTTTGCTTGGATATACCACATGTATATTTTTATTGTTTTTACTAAGATAATCTGTATGCATAGCACTTTCCAAACAGCTATTTGAATTATCTGGTAGATGTATATAGCAATTATAGTCAAAATACAATGAGTAAGTAATTTTTTGTCATCTCTTACCATACTTTTTCATGCGTATTATTCGGCTGAGCTTTTTGGACCTTTTAGGAATGTCATTTACGCCCTACCAGTCTGATGTCATTACGCATTATACATGTAATTCTAAATTTATCCATAAAGAGAATACAAACCTGCTTGAATCTAATGCTCTCTGCACTTGTTAGCGTATAATCGACAATGAACTTAGCAAAGCTGGTAACACACTCGTAAAACCAGAAATGTGCACGGGTAGTATAAATGTCTGGATATCGAGAAATTGAAGTTATAAATATACATAGAGAACATTATTAATTTCTTTGGATTTGTAAATTAAATTTAATATGCCTTCAACAAATCAAACGCTTTTATTTTCGTTAATTTTTTGCCTTTATTTGACTTCTGCTATTAGTCAGATTTCTAACACTACCATAAGCAATTCCACTTCTTCACTTTCCGATACTGGATGTGCAGATTACTTCGGGGTCAGTAAATGCAGTACCTGTCAAAAAACAGCATATGGTGCTTCAGACGACAGCATTTCAAATTGTTTTGCGCTATCAAATGAAACTCTCAATGGTACAGTAGAATCTGTTTCTACTTTATTGAGGAGTAAATGTGGTTTAACTTGCAATCAAACTGCGATAATGACTTTAAACGAAAACATACAAAGAGACTGTCAACAAGAATTAACCGAATGGGCGAAACAACCCGATTCTATAAATATTACTAAGTATATTTTGCCGGATCTTTGGTTTTCAGTCTACTCGGCCATCCCTAATAGAAAGGCATTATGTAGTCAAGATTCTAATGGATGTGAGTATCTTGAATATGTTACCTATTGCTATATCATAAAATTATTAATAACGAAAATTTGTTATAGCTTACTGTGCCGCCAATGTATCCTCAAAAGTTATAGACTATGTATCAAGTCTATTATCGTATGGAGAAGATTCCTATTTTTATGTTGAATTATCTCCACCTGATGGGCTTGTTTCATTTATAACAAGTTCAAATTCTCCCATAAAAACAGTATCATTACCAACGCATATTACTTGCAGTAACTGTTACACAGCATTAGCAAAATCATGGATTGATTTCTTCAACATGAATCCATCATCAATTCCTGCCGTTCAAAGTGCATTGGATGAATATATTAAACCAATTAAAGGGAATTTAACTCAATGTCCACCACCAACATCATCAAATTCTGGTGAAAAGATAAAAGTTTATTGGAGTTTAGTTTTTTTATTAAGTGCAATTATTTATTATTTAATATAAAATATAAATAGCTTGCGGTTATTCAATGTAAAGAATTCAATATTTAAATAAATTTCTGTGTGTCGTATTATGTACTAAATGTCTGAATTTCATTACTCATGGTATACCTGTTAACATACAATCCTCATTACGAATCAGCTTTGCTTAATAAAATTTTTTTCAACCTATTGCACTTATATTCACAACACTGAAAGCTTTGCTCATTTATCGAATTTTCTACATAATGTAATATTCAACACAAAATACGCTCACTTCTCTATCAAGTTGAATTAGTGTTGATTTGCTTCCTTTAACGCAAAAACTAAAAATCTTTGAAACATCAGCAATATTAATTAAACGGTTTATAAAATCAATTATAGAAAGAGCAGCTTTGACACTGGTAATATTAATTCACATGCAAATATAAACTTTAATTTACATATCGATAGCTTTTGAGACAAATATATAATTATTTTAGTCTAATATTCAATTTGTGGTTTTTTATACATTAATACATCGTGATAGTGATATAAACATGAAATTAAGGAGAACAAAAGTATATTGAATGACTTACAAGGCAAACTACAAATTCATGGGATCTCCTGTGGTAGTTTGTGTGTAAACTAACTAATTACACAATTATATTCTGAACAACTCTACTTAAACACAAATACAAGTGTCTTAGTAAAAATAAAAGTTATTAACAAAAAATTATTTACGATTTTCAGATCAATCTGATCTGAATCTGACCTGATCTGAAATTATCAGTTCGAATTGATCTCAAATCTGATCTGACTCAATCCAAACAGAGCTTTAGTATATACTGTTATCATTTTTAACAAATATTTTATAATTTCATAATTTTTATGTTATTACAAATTATGGTGTATTATAATTTTGTCTACTAATATTCATATTAATTTGATATTTTATTTTTATTTTGTATCCTATTTCATAATCAAATTTAGTATAAAATTCATAAATATCACTTTTTTTTATTTAAAATAATTATCAATGAATTATATTCTTGCATACTTTAAATTTAACTTTTATTTTCACTTTTTCTTATTTCTTTTATATTTTTCACTCTCAAATTAATTTTTTTGCTATTTAACATCTTATATTTTATCCCCAACAAGAAAATTCTTAATTTATATTTTATTATATTTATTTAATTATATTTATATTAATTTTATTTTTCATTTTCATTTTTATTCTCATTATTATTTTTATTTTTATTATTTTTTCTTATAATTTATTTCATATTATTCAATTTTTCTTTAAAATTTTTTTTATTGTAATCTTATAATTTTTCTTATTTTTAATTATTAATATTTTTCTCTTGTATTTTCTTTTCTATCAACATGTATAATATTTATTTATTTTTTAGTTTTTGTTTTTCTAGTAATCTTTGATAGGGAAAACTATTTAAAAAGTCAATTCTGGATTTTTTCAATAAATTATTATGGATAAGTTATATTAGACATAATTGATAATTTTATCTACAATAATAGATTGAGAAAGTAATTAGACTAAATAATATTTATTTATTTCTAATTTCTGTCTGATATCTACAGATATTATTCAGTATAACTGTAATAATTTTCATATACTTTTGTATTTTCTTGTATTATATCCATCATTTTTCATATTATATTTATTATTTTTGCATAACATATTAGAAATTAATACAGATCTATATTTAATGCTTCTTAATATTTCACCAAATACATAAATTAGATATAAAATATAGATCACATTATTAATTTAGACACACTTTGTTTTTCTTTTTATTTATTCTTTTCTTTTTCATTTATTATTTTTAAATTTGTGTTAATTATTTTTTATTATTATTTATATTTTATACATATCTAATTAATATAGCATAATTTGAAAATGTATCATCTTTAAGCTTAATAATTTAGAACTAATTATTCTCTATTTTATTATTAATTTATTTGTAATTCATTAACTATTAATTATATATTTAAATATCTCTGTTCTGTATTATAGCTCTTTAGATCTTTTCACTATTTAATAAATAAAAAATAAGCTTTATTAAAATTAAAACTGAAAACTATCTCAATTAATATAATTTATTTATAATAATTAATAAATTTATCTTAATATTATTCACATAAGAAAGTATTTTTACAACTTGGTAGCAGTAGATAAAGGTTATTAAAGCTATAATACATATTTTACAAATATATTTTACATATACACTTCATATATACATTTTAAATATTCATATTCTATACTTACCAATATATATACTATAATGAATTTACAACAATTTTAATAATTCATAAATAAATTTATCTTTTTGCTTAAACAACAACAAAATCTTATTGACATTATTCAATCTTATCAAAATCAATTGGAAATACAAAATTAATAGCTTTAACAATTATAGCAACAACAAGATGAAAATATTACTGACAGTAATAGTAATCAAATGCCTATTATAAATAATAATAGTAAAAATAACAATCCAAAAATTCTAGTCTAAATTCCAATTTATAAAGGTAAACCAAATGAAAATATTTTGATTTGGTTACTAAGAATTAAAAGTATTATTACTCAAAATATTACTAATAATGAAGAAAATAAATTATACATCAATTGAACTTGAAGATGTAGTCTTCTACTAGTATCTCAACAAGTTGAAGGCAAATATTAATAACACTAATTTTATTTTTGCTAACTTTGATACTTTTGCTCAAGAATTATGCAATATTTTTCAATTATCAAATTATCAACAATATTTAAGAAGATAACTTAAATAACTTTATCAAACTGATACAGTTCAAGAATATAATATCAAGTTCAGAAATTTTGTTGGACAAATAGAAGATATAGGTAATCTAGATCAAGTTATTTATTTTATTAATAAATTAAAACCAGCAACAAAAATAAAAATAAGTTATTAAGCACTAGAAAATTTAGAAGACACATGAAAATTAGCCATTAAATATGATATAGCTATATTTGGTATTGGTAAATCACTTAATAATAAATTATCTCACAAAGTATTATTCAAAAGAACTTTATAATTCAGTTGTAATATATTAAATAACATTATAAGTATATCTGTGAAATTGAATTATGCTGAATAATTCAAGAAAAATTTTATTTCCAATAATTTCAACAATAATAAAGTCAAAGATGACTATTAAAAATATAATAAATCAGGTTACTTCACTAAAAATTACTACTCAAAAGTAAGACAAGAATGAATAATATTAAAGAAATTACAGAATCTTTTACCAAACAACAAAATAAAAAAGTAGAATTTGCTTATATTGTTGATAATAAAGAAAATCAATGGTCAAGTTAATGAAAAAAATACTTGGATTTTGTTAGATAATAGTGCATCAAGAAATTTTATTGATAAAAAAATTTGTTCAAAAGAATTATATTAAAGCTAAAAAGATATAATCAATCACAATAGAATTAGCTAATGACAAGAAAATTACAACTATAACTATAATTAATATTCAAAACTTAAAATTAAGTACTTATAAAATCTCTAAAATCAATACTCAAGTTCTTAATCTATAATATTATTATGATTAGATTTCTGGTAGATATTATCATAATATAGATATTCAATCAATATTTGATGATAATAATTTTACAGTTACTCAATTTCTTTGTAATAGATATACTTTGAGATTACCACGCAGTGCATTTTCTTCTATTAGTTAGATAGACTCTTACTATTACTAATAGATGTTATATCTACTTAATGTGGAACAATTCTATAACAATATAGTATTGATATTCTATAGCAACTTTAACAGTTGTTCAATAGTGCACAATAAATATAAGTATTTTAATAAGTTATTATTCAATTAATTAATATACAAATTTTATTAACAATAAACAAGGATAATTTATTAATTAGCTAGATTTTTATATTGATCAATTGATGTTTTTTTCAAAGTTTCAATTGTACTTTATTTATAATAAATATTTTTCACTAATAAATATTATATTTATAATTAATTATATAAGTTAATAA